ATAACAAAAGTATAGTTTGGTATACAAACAGGTAATTCACCTTTGCCTGTCGGTTTCATGATCCATGTACTAGATGGGTTCTTTCTGAACTCCTCCACAAACAGATTGTAGTCAGCTGGTAGTAAGAATGTAACTGGAATAAAATCTTTTACAACAAAATGACAAACTAGATAATTTTCTGATGGAATTTGTGATTTCTTTGTTAAACTAGCTTATTGCTAAAATATAGGTGGCGCTGTTAAAAGCTCTGGCCGCAGTTGGAAATTCAAGTCTGCAAACAATGCTATAAATTCTAACGTTTGAATGTAATAATAATATTAATACAATAATAATAAAATAATAATGACAATAATAAAAATAATACAAGTAATGACTTCCTTTTATAATTACTTATTCTGTAAACATTTTTCTCATTTCAGTTCTGTACACTGCCATGAAAATGTGTTACCAGTATGTTGTGTTTTTTATTGAATAAAGATACCTTGATGTTGAAATAGAAATAGAACACAGCAAAAAACTATTGTACATAAAAAGCATATATCTCAATCAAGGGAGGTAAAATTTGGGGGGGGGGGGAGGCAGGATGACAAGAGCAAAATCTTTTGAAATTGGTCTGGTGACAAAGCCCCCAAAAATGTTGGATGAGTTAAAGGTAGCAAAACACATACAAAGCAGTGACACGCTCCCGCTGGGAGCATATTTTTCCACTGATAATGACCTTCTGCAAGTCCCTCCAGTTAAACATAAATGTAAAACATTTGCTCAATGTTTCTATTATGTTCAGCCCCCTTTTCCACTTATAATGACCTTCTGCAAGTCCCTCCAGTTAAACATAAATGTAAAACATATGGTCAATGTTTCTTTTATGTTCAGCCCCCACCCTTATCTTTGGATCAGCTATCCATTTCTTTTAGACAGTCTGCAAATTTAGTTTCATTCAAAAAGAACCTCAAAACATCCTTATTTTCAAAAGCTTGTTAGTCTGAATTATTCGCTTGGCACCTTTGATAATTGTTTTTAATTGGCACGATATAAATATTTGATTATTATTATTATTATTAATTAGATAAGAATGAGGGCAAGATTTATGTTACAATAAAGTTCAAGACAGACCCGATTTGTTTTTACCTAAGTGTATATATTTTCCAGTTTCATCCTTTTCAGCTAATGGGCTTGCTTCTTTCTCCAGGTCCTTCCGATAGCGTTTGATGTTCTTTACCATTAGATCCTTACGAGTCAACTCATAGTGATTAGGAAAATGACAAACTAATCTGTTATAAAAATATATATAAAAAATAGCTTTAAAAATTTCAGATATTTTATTTTTTATAGAACAATAATTCAAAACGATGAATATTTTCACTTTTTTAATATAGGTTTTTACAAAAAACAAGCCATCACTTGGAGAGTCACCTAGAAACGGTAATTTATTTTACTTTTTGGCAATCTTGCTGGCTCCTGAGGAGAACATTAGACAATACAAGTTTTATGGTCTTTTGCATAATATATGTGTACAGGCATGCCAAAACCTAGAACTTGTCGCATTTTTTAGAAATTTATTTTTTATAGTCATTTTATTCTCCATTATGGTGCATAGTTTGTTGAAAACAAAAAAAATATTATGATTTATAGCGATTTTAAGTTAGCCCTGTAAGGCAGGAGGTTGTAAACATTGTTTTTGTGAAATGGAGCTGCAAAGATGAACATCTTGTTCTTCAACGGGGCCTTTTAATTGAGAAAACGTCTTGAAACTTGGCATATATCATCCTGATATGATGTTCTGAATCTGGTGTAAATTTCATTATCATCCATGAACGTTAAACACCATAATCTAAGCTTCAAACACTGCCGTCTTTTCATCACAGATTTCATGTGCTGTTTTGCTGAAAACACAAAATGGTTCAGGGTTTCCGTTCTTTACTTACTCTATGGTATCCCATCCTCATCGCCAGATTTGTAATGTACTACGACATAACACGAGGAACTGACAGAAGACAATCGCCAGCTGTCTCTTATACACATCTAGATGTGTATAAGAGACAGTTCTTAGATTCTACATACTCAAGACATGCAAATGCTTTGCAAAATCACACCAAGTATTATAAGATCTTTCTCATATGGTGAATACTTATCAAGCCTTCAACTAAAATAAAAGCAAGAATTACTTTAGACAATAAGCAGTTAAAAGATGTATTTCTTAAAATCAAAAAATAGCATTCACAATGAGGCATCAGTGATTTTAAAAAAAATCATTTTTAAAATTCAAAATTAAACTGATTTCTAAACATTGCCTTAAATTACAACTAACCTTAATTCATCGAAGATGTGTATAAGAGACAGGGCCTGTACTGTAAGATCTGTCTTTGGAAAATAAGTTTTCCACAAATTATCAAACCAACAACTTGTATTTTATTATCTCAACAATATGTATTTGATATCAAGGTAAACATTTTATTATTGGCAATTTTAAATACAAATTTTTTTTTAAAAAAGAACGAGACATTATTCTGTACCATCGAAATGACACTAACAAATAATATTGGCCTTTTACATTAATCAATTTATCTAGATTTCAGGATCAGGACAAACTAGTTCCTCTGTCCCTTGTCTACAGAATTGCCTAACTTCTTTGAAGAGGTACTTCTTTCTGTCATCACTAATGCCTAAAGTATTGCATCAGGCAACTTGTTCTTAAGTAGTTTCATTTCATATTCTTCAGTGTCTGTGAATTTCTTCACAAACATTGAGCCTGGGTTAACATTAGTAACCTTGAAATGGTGGAAGGATTTAATGTGATTTAATTTCCTAAAATTGGGCTTCCAAAAAGAATCTCATCGGTACCAGAGCCGTAGATAGCGAGAGTTCGGCCAACTCAGTTTCACGGGATTCTGCTATACACGTGTGTGATTGGGTAGATCGCAATCACATGACTTACACCAACCATGTTGTCACCTAAACAAAACATTTTCAAGCCACAAACTAATGCGATAGGATAGAAGTTAGCAGTCATGATAGATGATAAATGCTATATAATGTGAAATACCGTTATGTTCGGTTTGGGGTTGCTGAAATCGATCCAACAAAGGAACAAAAATGCATCAATTTCCTTAAATTCCAAAAAGGAGGAGGATTTGGGAATTTATTTAAACTTTATTTTATTTAAATCTCACTATCCACGTAGGCCTATTAAATTAAGGCATGTGCAGCCTGCCCCACTTTGCAGTAATCCAACTTGCTAGGCCCTACTACTACTAGGCCTAGGCAGGCCTAGATTTTGGTACTTCTTTGGCCTAACACCATAAGGTAGTACTTAAATCGGCCTATAATACTATAAATATAATTACAATGATAAAAAAAATAAAGGAAGAATTTTAAAAGCAGAAATGATATTTCTAAAAGATGCAATGTTGCACTTTGCTGTTAAATTATCTATAAATAATTTCCAGAAACTACATGAAGTATCAGTGAAAAGTCTAGTTTAAATTATAATTAAAAATAAAAATTGAATACTCCAATAAAAGCGAAAATTTGTCCAAGGAGTCCTGTGCTATGCAAACATGCCCAATTGTGCTTTACAAATCAATTAATTGTGCAACTAAGAAGATTTTAAAAGATAAAAAATTAAATATAATTGTATATTGATTGTTTTAATTCATACACTAAACCAAAACGTTTAAATGCTTTACAATTACAAATCAAAAATTTAATGAATAATTAATAATAATAATAATAATAATAACAATAATAATAATAATAATACAGTAATAATGATAATAACTTACTAATAATAAACAGAAGTGTGTAGAATGCTGCTATTTTACTTACATAGGCATATTTTATATCATAAATTAAAGTTTATAATATTAATATCACAGGCCTATTATCGCCGACGATTCACATTGCAATCTACTCTGTCTGCACAACATAACCTTTCTCCTCTGCAGTGCTGATTCAAAGATATTAGGACCTAAAATAGAGAGACGGGGCCTGCCCTACTAGAGGCTAGACTAGCCCAGGCCTCTCTAGGCTAGATAGATAGGCTGCTAGTGACTAGGCATAGGCCTAGATGATAGACTTTCAAAACAAAAAGATAATTGAAAAATAAAGAATTGTCCTCACTTTATCTTCTCAAAATAATACAGCACTTTGATTAATTAACTTCCAAAGTTAGGTAAATATGATTATATATGATATTTACAATGATATATTAAAATCCCATAATTGAATGGTCCTCATGAACAGAATAATGAAAGCATCAGTCTTATAAAATGTTATAAAGCTTTAACACGCGCACGCTGTTTATTAACAACATGGCGCCATGCCGCCAAACTCTATCTACAATGGCTATGATCGGTACATCTGAAAATTATTTTGACGATCCCCAAGTTCATTACCTATGACACATGGTATATTTATACCAGTCAATGTACTGCTGGAAACAATATCGGCTTGATACCTATGTCCAGCTGAATTCCCGCTTAAAAAGGCCAAAACACCAATTAACAGAAAACTTGGTGTGCCCAGCAATAAGAAAGGAAAGCATGAATTAGGTATGTAACCCTCGATTGACCCTCCACATTAAATATTGAATCATACAATTGTTCTTATTCTACCTACAACAATTGTCTGCATTTATGATCAAGTGTTTCTCTCCCACCCCATAGTTCTCCAAGAAGTGATGGATCATGCTAACTACTTCATTGGCACCTTTCCAAGTTGTTATGCCTTCATCTCTTAAATAGTTAACTTGTGAGCAAATCCCTCGACATTAACTCCAAAAATACTACACTTTCTGCATGCTTTAAAAAATATTGGGCCTGACTGCATCAGATTTGTCGGGTAGTGAACCTGTTGGGCGTAATCAATTGAGTAATGGAAATTGTGTCACGCGTATTTGCTTCGCTCCTTTGCAAACCAGCCAACACATGTGCCTTGGCAGTTTCCTTTGCCGCCTTGCACCTTGATTGGTACAACATTCTCTCACCTGCAACCTGAAAAAGATGGTGCCAATACTCTTGTGTTTTCTCTGTCTTTTCAGCATCAGATGCTGTACCCTAATAAAAGAAAATTAAAATGTATTTATACATACAGTACTATGTTATGAAGTAAAATACATAATAAAACCTGAAACACTTGATTTTAACTGGAAAGAAAAGGATATGATGACAATGAATAGTTATACTGAAGAGAAAATCTTTATATAATATAAATATAAAATATTGAAATTTGATTCCTTACTTCTTCTGAGAGCCAGCTGATAAGATTGGCACTCTTTTGGCAGGTCTGACAGAGATCGGTCTTTGGCTTGGAGAAAACAATATAAGGTAGAAGTTGGCACTACAGATTGTTAAATGTACTAGTTAAACAGACACACTACTCACCTTCTCCGAAAGAGTCCATGTATACCTTTGCCTTGGAACAATGTGTAGGAGGATGTTTGATTCCATCGAAGTTCTTGACTCCAGGAGTGAATCTCGGCATAATTTAACAAGTTCACCACATTCCTGATAACCTCAAGACTAAAGGATCGCTTCTCACGTCTTCTACCCAAAATGAATTAATGGTCAAATATAAAGCATTTACTACAATTATTAATATTAAGTACATTTTATTTAAATGTATTTGTAAGAATTCAATAAATTTAATTATGTAAATTATGTCATGTGTGCAGGCTTACCTGATTTCTTGCGTCTTTGGACTAATCCATTCTTCTCATTATGGCTCTTCAAAGCACAACGATCTTTCCAGATTCCAAATAAAAATAAGAAAGTGTATAGGCAAATTTGCTTCCCTTCATACATAAACATCTTCATTTGTGTGCATTGTCATTTAGTGCGACGCTTCTTCTTAGATTCTACATACTCAAGACATGCAAATGCTTTGCAAAATCACACCAAGTATTATAAGATCTTTCTCATATGGTGAATACTTATCAAGCCTTCAACGAAAATAAAAGCAAGAATTACTTTAGACAATAAGCAGTTAAAAGATGTATTTCTTAAAATCAAAAAATAGCATTCACAATGAGGCATCAGTGATTTTAAAAAAAATCATTTTTAAAATTCAAAATTAAACTGATTTCTAAACATTGCCTTAAATTACAACTAACCTTAATTCATCGATTCCAATCTGTGAAAATTGTTCAATGCATCGACATCCATTAAAAAGCTTGCATTTGCAATGGCACTGTCGTTCCTGTACTTCCACCTTCTCAATGATTCTTGCCCTGTCCATGGCTTCTTGAACCTCATCAACTTCAACATCACCATCATCTTCATCATTGTGGTTCTGGTTTGCTGCTTCATTCACTAGTTCAACATTCACTAGTTCAACATCCAGTGTCCTGTCTCTTATACACATCTAGATGTGTATAAGAGTCAGCTACACTTTCTGCATGCTTTAAAAAATATTGGGCCTGACTGCATCAGATTTGTCGGGTAGTGAACCTGTTGGGCGTAATCAATTGAGTAATGGAAATTGTGTCACGCGTATTTGCTTCGCTCCTTTGCAAACCAGCCAACACATGTGCCTTGGCAGTTTCCTTTGCCGCCTTGCACCTTGATTGGTACAACATTCTCTCACCTGCAACCTGAAAAAGATGGTGCAAATACTCTTGTGTTTTCTCTGTCTTTTCAGCATCAGATGCTGTACCCTAATAAAAGAAAATTAAAATGTATTTATACATACAGTACTATGTTATGAAGTAAAATACATAATAAAACCTGAAACACTTGATTTTAACTGGAAAGAAAAGGATATGATGACAATGAATAGTTATACTGAAGAGAAAATCTTTATATAATATAAATATAAAATATTGAAATTTGATTCCTTACTTCTTCTGAGAGCCAGCTGATAAGATTGGCACTCTTTTGGCAGGTCTGACAGAGATCGGTCTTTGGGTTGGAGAAAACAATATAAGGTAGAAGTTGGCACTACAGATTGTTAAATGTACTAGTTAAACAGACACACTACTCACCTTCTCCGAAAGAGTCCATGTATACCTTTGCCTTGGAACAATGTGCAGGAGGATGTTTGATTCCATCGAAGTTCTTGACTCCAGGAGTGAATCTCGGCATAATTTAACAAGTTCACCACATTCCTGATAACCTCAAGACTAAAGGATCGCTTCTCACGTCTTCTACCCAAAATGAATTAATGGTCAAATATAAAGCATTTACTACAATTATTAATATTAAGTACATTTTATTTAAATGTATTTGTAAGAATTCAATAAATTTAATTATGTAAATTATGTCATGTGTGCAGGCTTACCTGATTTCTTGTGTCTTTGGACTAATCCATTCTTCTCATTATGGCTCTTCAAAGCACAACGATCTTTCCAGATTCCAAATAAAAATAAGAAAGTGTATAGGCAAATTTGCTTCCCTTCATACATAAACATCTTCATTTGTGTGCATTGTCATTTAGTGCGACGCTTCTTCTTAGATTCTACATACTCAAGACATGCAAATGCTTTGCAAAATCACACCAAGTATTATAAGATCTTTCTCATATGGTGAATACTTATCAAGCCTTCAACTAAAATAAAAGCAAGAATTACTTTAGACAATAAGCAGTTAAAAGATGTATTTCTTAAAATCAAAAAATAGCATTCACAATGAGGCATCAGTGATTTTAAAAAAAATCATTTTTAAAATTCAAAATTAAACTGATTTCTAAACATTGCCTTAAATTACAACTAACCTTAATTCATCGATTCCAATCTGTGAAAATTGTTCAATGCATCGACATCTATTAAAAAGTTTGCATTTGCAATGGCACTGTCGTTCCTGTACTTCCACCTTCTCAATGATTCTTGCCCTGTCCAT